AAAGAGGGATATCTGTATGATTAGCACTCCATCGTCCAAGTCAATTTAGGCTTCAAGATAATTATAGTGAGAGTGGAGATTAGAGATTATGTACTTGATATGTGTTGCAGGACTCAAAGTAAAGAGGAAAAGTCCAAAAGAAATAAGTTTCAGCCCTTACGCGTATGTAAGCGCATTTGACAAATTTTTAGGTGAAAAACCTCTGACCAAACACATTTTTGAACGCCTATTCACTAGCTAGACAAGGCCAAACATGTTTTCAAACGCGTATTCACTAGCCAGGCAAGGCCATGCACGTTTCCAAAAAGTGTATCTACTAGGCAGATGTGTTTCCAAATGAGTTTAGTGACATTTGGACACCCTTGGAGGTATTTAAAGAAGGAAACCTGGTTTTTTAGGATTATCTCATTTTTTACGGCAAGACGAGTTTTTGTAGCAAAGCAGATGTACGAGGAGCTACGAGAAGCAATATTCAGTAGAATTGTGTGTTGAATCTTCTTTCTTGAAGATCATTATGTAAAGTCATTTACTTTCATAATAAATTGTGTTCAAGTTATGAGTAGCTAAATCACATAGTGCTAAGGATGAATCATGTTTTCTTGATTAAATGTGTAATTCTGAATTGATCTTTGTAATGACTAAGTATTTTATTCTATTATGATTATTTTTATCCATTCTTAATGCTTTTCGTTTTCTGATCAATTGTGAATTGTTCTACGGTTTTAGGGGTGGTAAAGCGGGTGACCCATGTTGTTTAAGCTCATTCAAAAGCGGTGTGGAGCAAGTTAACTTAGGTGTCAGAGTTGAAAAGTCAAGTCCTTCTTGTTTACTAACGAGTTGACACGTTGGCGGGACAAAGCCCCAAACATTTTCTTACAAATTAATTTACTATATAATTTATAAAAAAATTAATCATTATCAAAGAGACCGACGAAAGACATTTTTTAACAACACATAATAGAACATCAGGAAAATTGAAAGGAACTTTCAATCAAGAAAATAAATAAAAAAATATGAATCAGAAATAGAAAGGGAGAAAATAACAAAAAAAAGTGGTATATGTTAATGGGTGTGCTAACTTGTAATTTTAAAAAGATGATATTTTGTACACAAATAAATTCTATTTATGAGGATTACGTTAGTAGTTTGGAACACATTATTTTTGTCAAAAAAAAACATCATCCAATTATATATATATATATATATATATATATATATATATATATATATATATATATATATATATATATATATATATATATATATATATATATATATATATATATATATATATATATATATATATATATATATATATATATATATATATATATATATATAACAATTTGCTTCCAATAAAAGACCAATAATCAATCTATTGGAAAAAAATTAGACGATTTAATAATCAATCTATTCTTTATTAGTTGTCACCTAGGCTTAGAAATATCAACTGAAAACTGAATCGTTCTTGATAATTACATGTTTGGCTTTATCTATGATTTATTAGAATCGTTCTTAATAATTACATGTTTGGCTTTATCTATGATTTGTTAATATCCACAAAAATAAATTTAAAATCAGAGGTTTATTTGTTAAATAATTAGGAATCGATAATTTAGAGAACTAGTAGTCATTAGAAATAAAGTTTAGTTGTAACAAAAGGTCAATTTAGGATAACAAAATGATTCAAGATCAAACTCTTATCCATTATGTTGTACCCTAAAATTTTTCCACTCATTTTTTAGACAAAATTAATTCAAGATATCTCCTCATGTTCCTAGGGTTCTCAAACACTCAAGACTACTCAAGGATTGACCAGACAAACTCTCCTTCTAAGCAATTGACCTACAACTAGGGTTTTGCTTCTCTCAAAGGAAATTGGACTCCTAATGCCTCAAATGGGCTTCATGGTTTCTCATATGTCTCAAAGTATCCTCATGCCAATTTTAAAGCCTTACATCACAAATTTGCTCAGTCAATTAGCCAGATGATTGAAAATCAACTCTATTGGACAAGAAGTCAACTTTGACCAATTTATAGTCAAACTTCAAGATTTTTGGTCAACATCAAAATTTTAAAGTCACATTCATTATTTGATCAATGGTTGATATGATTCATCAAGAAAACTCAAGATTTATCAAAAGTCAAGTTACTAAATTAGGGTTTTCTTTAGGAGAAGTCAACTAAACTTTGACCAAGCATAACTTTCACATACTTCATTAGAAATTCCTCAACAAAAGCCTATCTTAAAGGAAATTCAATTCCCTACAACTTTGTCTCTTTAAGCTCAAGGCCAAAAAAGCTTCATTTGAGAGATATGAGACAAAACATTACAGGTCATTTTAAAAGTCGACAAAAAAACATTTTTTGTCAAGGAAATTTACATGAAGTTAAGGACTTCAAATGAAAAAATGGCCACATGAAATTTGTAAGAGACATCTTGAGCTTTCCAAAAAGTCTAAGATCATCTTCGTATGACAAAAATTGAGAGAGATATGATTGGTGCAAGTTGGGCAATTTTGAGAAAATACATGAAGTTCAAATTGAGCAAACTTGAATTTTTGGGCTAATGGGCCTAAGTTTTCAGATCCAAACGTGTTATAACCTCATAAGGGACCTCTAAATCCATTCACATATTTTTTATGATTTTTATTTCTTTTATTTGGATTTTATATTTAAATGCAAATTAAATCAAATAAAATATGAAAGCAATGGATCAAGGCGTGTGGACTTTTGTTTTGATCATATTTGAAGCCCAAAAAGCTCATGACAACTTGGCGAAAACGTGTAGAGATGATTGGCATGAGATTGACCTAAATAAGAAAGATTTCATGCAAAATTCTAATCAAAGATTTGATCATGAAATACAAAAGATTGATCTCACTTTTGTTGACCTAATCACTCTCCTATAAATACACAACATTCAGACCAAGCTAAAGACACGAAAATTGTCTCAAGAGCACACCCTCAAAATCTCAAATTTTCTCAAAACTAGGACAAACTCAAACCCTCGCGTGCCTATTCTCAACTAATTCCAAGCATCAAATCATCTTCCTGAAGTTTCCAGGAGTCCATCCCAACCATTCTTGAAGCCTGAAACACGTCAGAGCATCCTCCCTCGATTGCACCGGTTCGATAAAATTCTTTAACTTCAAACTTTTAATACACGCGTTGTTGAATGATTCAATGCATACGTACATGTTCATAATCATTTTTAGAACTGTTTTGATCCATTACTTGCAAGCTTTGACGCAGGGATGATGAGTTGCCATTGTTAGGACAGTTTGAAGTATCTGCTTTGAAACTCGATCTACAAACGTCTTCATACCAAACTAACACCACCATTGGATTCAGGAGGTCCAAACTAAGGGGACACGACCCCTCTTGATCTTTAAATCTTGCTATTTTTGCAAATTGGATTTTTGCCTCATCGGAGAAGACGACCGGAGCTAGGGCTCTGTCACTTCTCTGGTCTGATTTTTATAATATATTTATTTGTTTGTATTATATGAACACAAAGCCAACGTAGCGCAGATGGTGAGAAGCGTGACTATACGTTTTGCAATTATTTTGTTTTTTTCAAATTAACGCGCAGATTTATAATATATTGAATGCTTCCTATTCCTAGATACCAACAACAGTATGGCGCAGCGGTGAGGAGAGTATTCTTTGAAGTCAGGGGCGTGGGTTCAACACCCACTCCATACAAATGTTTTTTTCTTATTTTTCTAACCATATTTTCATCATTAATTATCTTTTTAATTAACCATTAACAAACCTATTTTTTTTTCAAAACTAATAACAAATTAAGATTAGAGTTTTTAATTATTAATTAAAAAATATATATATTTTTATTTACTAATTAATTAATTAACTTTTTTTCTTAATATTAAAATCAATTAGAATTTAAGTTTAATTAATTATTAACACTTAAATTATTTTCTTAAAAAAAACACAAAAACATTTTAACATTTTTTAACATTGTTTTTCTCATTTTTTTGCTATTTAAAATTCCTAAAACAAGTGTATAGGTCGCGCTATCAATGTAATAGCGTAGATTTTTTTTCTCGCATTTTTTCTAATTATGTATCTGCCCCAAAGTCATGTAATAGCTTAGACTTTACATTCCGCACTTTAATTTCTTGTACATATTTAACTGTTAGTAACTAGGGTTTGTATGGCAAGACTAAAAGCAATCTAGAAAACCTTAATCTTCAAGACTGAATAATTAAAATTAATACACTATTCACACTTGCACCTCTAGGGTAACCTCTCTTGTTGCCTTATGATAATATTAGTCACGTCCCTCAAAAGTAGAGATACTTTAGCAAAAAACCCTCGATCAAATCATCATAGTCCCTTCGAATAAAGATCACAATCCCTCGATGACCCTCTGAGTTGCCTACAAAATGATGATAGTCCCTTCGATACAATTGCTAAAGTATCTTTACATGTTGCCTTCTATGACCATACGATGATCATACGCATGTCCCTTCATATCCAATAGATGGGGTTACCTACCAACTAATAGTATGGATAATACTATCTCCAAAGAAGAAGGAAAATAACAAGAAAGACTTTAGTGGATAAGAACTCCTAATTGTTTGCTCACAACTTTTTCACAAACAAAACATTTTCACATCACTTTCAAATATTTTCAAAAAAACTTTATATACATTCTTGAGAACTGTTACAAAAATCATTACAAAGTTAGCCTTACACTGACATTTCAAAATATTGTCAAACAAATCACACACATACAAAGTAAATTTTCAAAAGTGAGCTAAGCAATTAAGAGTCTGTAGATAACTACGGATGGAAAGGGTGTTAACACCTTCTATTTTCATAATCTACCCCCGAACTCAAAATCTATCAAAGATTTTTCCTGTTCTTTTCATATTTCCTAAATATTGAATAAAAGAAAAATCGATAGCGACTCTTACTATCCACACATTTGAATAAAACCAAAAAATCAATTCTCCCACCGTATTACACCTTATATGTTTTCCTTATATTATTCTTTTACTCTTTGTTTAAAACAAATCTCAACCCCAAATGCGCTTAAACCAAATTCTATAATACATAAAAGATATCCATATCAATATTCCAAAATTTTCCAATATTACTACATCGATATAATTAATATACTTCCTAATTTACGAATCTTATTCGCTCCTGCGTTGAGGAAGAACATCATAGTACATGAAGTACAAGTTCCTTTTCAGACCTCTTTAGTTTTTAGTGTGACAACCAAAGCCCGGTTGCAGGCACGCAATCCCCGCACCAAAGACAATGAAATTGATCTCTTATCTGTTCATGAAAAGACAACTCGTTGTTGTCCATATTGAAGTTAACATCTTCACCAAATCTTCAGCAAACATTTGCCTTCTACAAGATTATTGAATTTAGGTCCAACATCAATGTTGGTTTCACCCACACAGTCTTGAGAGGTAGGGTGTTGTTGTAAGATAAATAATTAGCCGCTTGTTTTAACTTGCATGTAAAAGCCTTAACTCTAGCATGTTAGAGTTATGCTAACCCCTTGTTGACTATATGATAGTAATCCTATAGAACTGTAACTTTTCTGTTGAAAATCACTGAAAAACAAAATATAGTTGAATATTCTGAGATGAGAAGTTCACTCTCATTCACAAGTATTTCTAAGACTCTTTTCATATGAAAGTATTATAAGGATCTTCATTAAGAATTAAAAAACACAACAAAAATTAAACCTATTTAAACTCAGCTCTTAATGTAGTAGCACTAACTAGAATCATGTTTGAACGTTGAAGTGTTAATGCATCTCTAACATATCGTGACAGGCGTATAACCTCTTCATCAAGATTGGTTTGTAACCTTAGAAGCAAATATTGCAATGCATGAACGCTTATGTGCTAATTTTACAACACATGGCCTCTCACTAAAAAGGCCTCTGCCAGTAGCACCATGATGAATACTACAAAATGCCCTAACAATCTATCACACAGTTAACAATTCCAAGAAACAAAATTTTAAACCTGACAAGCCAAACAAGACTTGTGATAATAGCAAGAAACATCAGCTTTGACTTGACTGTGAGAACAATAAAGTAAAAACCATTGTCACAAGCAAAGTTAAAAATCAGGTATATTACCATCACAAGGTACGAAAACCAATCATTTGATTCCCCCTTCCCTATTTTTCCTCTCCTCCTTTATCCCTAGATCACAATTGGTACACATTACTCCATTTCAGATTCCAGTTGGGTTATTTAGTCATGGCAGCAAGTTGACCACTAGTCATCTGTCTATAAGCCAATAATCAATGCTTACATGAAATCCTCCTCCACTTCCTGGAATGATTTGCTTCCTGATGCAATATCTTTGTTGGATGTCATATTTTCTGAGACCATCAAACCCTTGTAGCTCCTAAGCTCTGATTGTTTCTCCTTTTCGAGTCTATCCATTTCCTCTCGGCGTTTCTGCACACAGCAGAAACAAGTGACTTGATTTTAGTAATTGTTCCAAGAAAATAACAATTGAACTGGATCGAGAAGACACTAAGATGTTACACTACAAAGAAGACACTGAATCTTAGGCTGGATCCTAAAATTCTTATCAAAATTCGCAAACATAGTGACTCAAATAACTCAAGTAGTGCATTAGAACAGAGGACAATATATAAGCTATAATTTATAAAACTATGCCCCTGAAGAAAATGCAACATGGCAGTTAAAAAGACAGCAGTAAACATACAAACAATCATCATTCACCAATTCGCTTCAGAGCGCAACCTCTAGTACAGAGTTTGTTCAATATGCTGTGAGTTTGACTATGATGTTGTTAGTGTAAAAAAATAGTTTTAAAGATGCATCCAGTAATATGGAACTTGCTTGTTTCAAATTAATCACTTTCTAGGATTTTCTATCCATTTGTTTCAGCTTTTGGAAATAACCTGAATGAAAAACAAATCTGAAATTAGATTATAATGAAAAACTAGTTTTAGTAGCTTTTGACAGATAATTGGATTTTAATGTGGGATAGATGAGGGAATCATAAAAAACTATATGTATGACTGACTATAAACAAACACATTAGTTTAGACTTTGTATAAAACCTCTAAAAATAATCACTAGCCTGGGTAATCTAATGTAAAAATCACTTTTTAAACTTTAACCAAACTGACTCAAGATAACATGTCATCTCATGAGTTTAAATATGTTTAACAATATCATGAGGTGTTAAACTTGTTTCAAGATGCATGTGACAATGCATTGTTGGATACCTGGATGCAAGTGTTCAAACTATTAGCAATGACTACATCAAAATTAAATTATACCAATAGAACCTGCTGCTCTGTTCTGCATAACATACTGTGCTTAAATACTTTGACTATGCATGAATTTGAAAGAAAGAAAGAAGCAGTGCTCACCTTTTCCCTCAGTTGATGTTTTCTCTCAGCTCTTTCAGCTGCATTAACTGCTTCGCGCTCAGCTGCAGCGCACATACCACGTGCATATTAAGATCAGATGAGTCAATCAAATTGGTAAGCATATTGTGCATTAGAAACCGCTATGACTAAATGGTTACTGGCTAGATATTATAACAGACAAAAATAGTACACAGTTGCCTCCTCGTCCATAAAGTTTTAATCATAAATGTTAAAGAAAACATAAAGGCAGAGCAAAGCAAAGCAAACTTATCGGTCACCTTTCAAATCAGGTTTCCTTTCCACCTTCGTCTTGTTTAGCCTGTTAACAATCTCATTTATCTTCTTCTCCACTCTCACAGTTCGCACCTGAAAGGCACAGAACCCAGATGATGATAGTCTAAAAATGGAAGTTCAATCATTCATCCATCCCACCCACAACAATAAAAAAGGGTAAGGCACAAAGAACTGAAAAAGAAATAGCAAATGATTCAAGTGTAAAAACACACCATTTTTCCATTGTGAAAACCAACTTGACCAACATCCATTGAAGCAGTTTTCTTTAAATTGGACCAGGGAGTGTAAACAACATCAACGTTGTTTACTTTATTCCCTGCCATGAATAAAGAAAAAAGTATCACTAATAGCACAGAATTAGGATTTGGAAGGAAATGCATGTACTAATGAAGTAATAATTAGTTTTATGTATTTTGAAACCTAGCATGAGAACTAGGTTTAGTTTGAATCAGCTTCTAGTTTATATTTTATAAGAACTTCTCAATTAAATTTTTATAAAATGAATTTATAGGTCTTCACTTAAGAAAAAATTGCTATAAGCTTCAAAAGCGTTTCAGGGAGAAGTTAAATAAAAAAGCTCCAGAAACAAATTACAATAGAAAAACTAGTTTCAACATATACTAGAAGCTATTGTTCAAAAACTGGTAGTTTGTGTAAGGTGAAGCACGACACCTACACTTGATAGGATACATAAATTTGGCTCTTACATCAATTAAACTGATAAACCAGAGGAATAAATAATCACAATATTTAACCTTGAATGGAATTTGCTTTGACAAGTTGAGCACAATCTTCCAATAAACCTTCACTCATGTCATCAATAGTCTGACCTTTGTGCAGCCTGACATAAACATGGGCTGAAGACATCTTGTCAACATGGAACCTACATAAGACAGATTTAAGCATTAATTACAAAGGGTCATACTAACAAGTGCCCTAAGAGCATTGTTTAAGGAAACCATAGAAGAAAGTCTTATCCTGTAAATACAAGTCAAACACTTATTAACATAATAATAAATACATCACTTTCTATACAAAAGTTAACTATCGTGTGATTGGTTTAAGAGAAACAAAGAAGAGAGAGTAAGGTGAGAGAGAAGTATGAAAGAGAGAGGCAATTTCTCTTGATTGGTTTAGAAGAGAGAGTGAAAAGAGAGAAAACGTGTGACCCACCACTTTTTTCAATCTCTTCAAAATAGAAAGAAAAAAGAAGAGAAATGTTAATTTAACACTAACTTGTCATTTATACCCCCTATTTTCTTTTAATTCAAAGTTATTATTAAGGACAATTTTGTATTTTCAATAATCACCAACATTTCTCTCTTCTCTATTTCTTTTATACTTCTCTTATACCAAACAATATATCAAATCTTCTTTATTTCTCACATATTTCTCTCTTCTTTCACTCTTTCTTACATATTTCTCTCTTCTAACTTTCTCTTCACAACCAATCACATCCTAAGTGCAGTTTTAGCTTTTCCATTACAGAAAAGCCCAAGAAGCAAAATAACAACAACAAGAATAATAGTAACACGACAATGCAGCTTTACAACAAACCATAAAACCAAATCAGCATATAATTCAGACACAAATTTAAACAATGAGATTTAGAAATTTGTATCAGGTGACTTGTTTAATCCTGAGAGAGAAAGCATGTTCTATATTAGAAGACAGTGAATAGAACACACACAGCAACAACAAGAACAACCAAGCCTTATCCCACTAAGTGGGGTCGGTTACATGGATCCACTTATGTCATAATCAATGTTTTAAAAACCGAACCGAAGAAAGAACCGTTAAGACATACAGGTCAAGGTTCAATCGGTTCAACCGTGGTTGAACTGTATACTAAATTTAAAATATAAGAAAATAAATAAATATATTATTAAACATCCTAATAAAATTAATTTATACCATAATTTGTAAAATAAAATTCTCAAATAAATATGATATTAATAAACAAGCATACAAAAGAAGAAGAATGCAATATAAGGCACAATAACAAATCAGAAAATCAGTTAAAGACTAATATTTATATATTTATTCTAATTGCTTAACTCAAAATCACAAGTTCTTTATCGGTATAATTTTACACATCTCTTCCAAGACCAACATCAGTTACCCCATCTCTTCCGGATTAGACAACGGTTCAACCGGCCGGTTCAATCCGGTTTTTAAGACATTGGTCATAATGTTCTATTGAGAACCATACTAATATCCAAATCGTTAATCTTGATTGTTGAGATAATAACTCATTCTAGATCAAAAATATCTCGTTTTTGTGAGGCGAATAATCATGGTAATGCTATAATAGCAGAACAATCATACTACAATTCTTAATAAACCTAACTACGAGCAGCAAAAATACCACCAGAGTGATAACTCCAATCCCTATATCCTGATTTCTAAACACACCCTAGAACGAAACGATTTTCCAACAAATGAACAATTTTTAATCTTAAAATCATATAGGAACCAAACCAAGGTCAAACTAGTATTTCCTTCATGATAATACATGGAATTTCTGGAAACGAATAGATATATTATTCACCAAATTGGGGAAATGAAAGATTGAAATTAGGGTTTACCATATGTCTTCAATGAAACCGTATTTGATGAGCTCTTCATTCTCGAACTTGTCAAGGCCCATGAAGATGGTGTAATCGCCAGCTTCAGGGCGTGCTTTGAAGTAGAACACCATTGGGTTAGCTTAGGTTTCACGCACGCCAAGGAGGCGATGAAGAGGAGAGAGAGAGAGAGAGAGAGAGAGAGAGAGAGAGAGAGAGAGAGCACGCGTTAGGGTTGGGAGTTTGGGATTTCAATTCCGATTTGGGGAATTGCTATCCGAATCGCTGCATAAAACATAATCACGCGCAAGTTTCCGTTTCGTCTTTTTCGAATGTCAAACTCGCTTTGGGGTCTTTTTGTAAATACCGAATTTGTTGGAAACTTTGTTGGTTTTAATGCATCCTTTCCTCTATTAATTTAATTTAAAGTTTTGTTTTTCACTTCTTTAACTAAAAATTATAAAGTAGTCTTTTAACTAATATTTTGTTATTTGAATTGGTTCATGCCATTAATTTTTCTATAAAAAAATGTTAAGTTTTGTCTTGTTGGATATTTAAAATCTGACATATAATTTTTTATTTTAAATTGATTTAAAAATTTGAAATTAAAAAAGAAAAGAAGGTGAAACGTATTAGGACAAAGTTTTAGAATTTATTTATAGTGAGAGAACATAATTGTCATTGAGAGAGCATAAAAGAAATGAAAAGCTTGAGTTCTCTGCGTTGAAGACGAAATCAAAATTGTTCACAACCTTCATTGAAGACGAAATCGGAATTATTCACAACCTTCATTGAAGACGAAACTTATACTTTTCACAACCTTTGTTGAAGATGAAACAAAGACGTTTGAAGAAGAAGCCTTAAGGTACGAATACTCAACTATAATGTACTAAAAATTTAAAAAAAATTCTTTAACCATCTTCCTTACTACTTCTTCTATCTTATGTAGATTGAATAGGTCATGGGGAAGACATTGCAGTGCATTGTGCATCATGGCGGTGAGTTTTCTTAGGAGTTTTCTAAGTTTACCAAGTTAGGTTATAAAGGGTTTGAGGAAATTTTAGGATGTTAATCCTAGTTATTAGAGTTATTTTGAAATTTTGGGCAAGTTAAAAGACTTAGGTTATCCAGTTGTAGCTAGCCTTTAGTATTACAATGAAATGGATGTTAATGACATTGTTCTGTTGGAAAATGACAAGGAAACTAGGAGGATGAAAACACATGCAGTTATGACTGGGACGTGTCATCTATATGTTATTCATCATGTTTCACAATATGATATTATTGGGTGAAACTCTGGCACAACAAGACAAATGTTGAATATCATGTCCCAACACCAGGATAACTCAACACGATGTTGAAAGCAATGCTAAGACATCATGTTACTGACAGAACAAATAACAACTAACAATTTTAAAACACATGCAGGAAGTGAAAAACACAGGTCAATTATTAAACCAGTTCGGTGCAACTTCACCTACTCTGAGGGCATCCAAGCCAGGAAGGAAATCCATTATTCTAGTATTAGTTTAAAGTTCTGAACAACTCATGTTTTACAAACTTCTCACCTAATCACTATCCATGCAATTCCTACCTAGGACTCTCATAGATATGACACTCTTCTCACTTTCCTCAACCACACACATGTGATTATCTCCAATAATAACAATTGACAGAAGAAATACTTCCTAATTAAACAGATTACACTCTTCTTTAAAGGCTCGTGAGTAAATCACAATGAACAAATAACAATCAGTCCAACTCGGTATCAAAGTGATACATGAGAAGAGCATAAACACAAAGAACAGACGAAACCCTAAAAGATATTAATCCTTATTCCTAGCTTCGTAATCTTCTTAGGTTTATACTCCTCCTTTTATAAGCCAGTGCAACCTTTGGGCTTGAATATTCAATTTAGCTATAACCTTCTGTAAATCAAATCAAATCCAATTATGTCTAACCAAATCTTCAAATGCAAGGCAAAAGGTTTTGACATCCAATCAAGCAAATCAGATCTTACGTTATCTCTTCAGCTTTGAAACAAATCTTTAGATAATCCAATCTTCAATGTGATGCTTGATCCATAAATAACAAATCAAATCTTCTAGAAACAACAAAAATAGATCTTCCTGAAATAGAAATAACACAGACTGCAATGTCGTAGCAATATGTCATGACATTTTATCCAACATCAGCTGAACTAATTATTTTACCAAAAAAGAGCCAACAACTCAACACATAACATTGGGGAACCTATACTTTTAACAGAATACGATAACACTGAATTAGGTAAGAATAATATATAGGGGATCCTTGTGTTTGAAGATGATGTGGATGAAGAAGTCAATTTGAATGAGGTCCCCACTGCGTTTGATGATGTTGTGTGTAACACCCGGTTTTTCCCCCATCGCATAATTAAATAAATCAGAGTAAATTAAAAAAATTTATCATAACAAAACAGGATGTCACACCGTTCATCATCATGAAACTTACTCAATATTTAATAATTTGACACATAACACAAATTTATGATGAACCGACAATATCATCATCATAGTTCTCAATATCTCGACTTCATTAATGCAACGGAAAAAAATTCATAATTTAATTCCAACATCATTAATCCGTCATATAACCAACAATTATCAATTAAAGAGAGTTTACAAAGCTCCCAAAATATTCTTAAAAAAAAACATCAATTAAATAAAACGAGCGTTCATCTCCGGTGTTACGTATCAGAGCAAGACCCGACTCAATCTACACAATACGAGGTGCAACTCCATACCTCAAGCAATCTAATCTTTGTCACCTGCGTGTTACCCACATAGAGGCAACATTCAAATAGAAAGGATGAGATATCATAACAATATAACAAATGTATGATAATGAGTAGATAAAGCATGGCATACATAATCATAATTTATACTTCATGCATCAACACCAAATACACAACATCATTTCAACAATCACACCCAACAAATAACAGATCACATATCTTCAACAACAACGTCGTAATGCAATGAGACCGACTTCCCTAATTATATGCATGTGGTACCATAACAACGTCCCTTTGTCATTGAGGTTGCACCGTCACTTGCCATTAAGGCTACACTATCACTTTCCATTAAGGCTACATCATCACTTGCCATTAAGGCTACATCATCACTTATGAATATGCATGCAACACTAACATGTTATGACAACAAATGCAATGACACGACACACATTAACAACCCAAACCAACATAAGCCACCAATACACATTGATATTCATACATCGTCGCAACATCGTCACATCATGGAATATCATCGATTCCATCATCATATTCACAACTTCACAATTACATCAAAATACCAGAATAATACAAAAATCACAACACACACACGTCAACACGCATCAACAAACCAAGCCAGTACAACTCGTTAATCACACATCATTGTTCATACATCGTCACACATCACTACATCATGAAATCTCTTCATATTCATCGTCACCTTCACAACTTTGCAATCACAATACGACATCGCAATGAAACAAAATCCACAAAATCATCTCATACTGTTTTCAAATTATTTTTATCGAGTAGAAAATATTTTTTGCTTTTCATAGGTCCGAACGGCGCATCAAACGGACACCCGAGTAAAAAGTTACGAGTTTTTAAAGTTTTTTCAGAAAATTGGCCATTTTGTCTCAGTGGTAACCGGTTACACTCCAGTGATAACCGATTACTGCTAAAACAGTAACTCGGTTTTTCAAAAATTTCCTGCGGTAACCGATTACTACTTTTTCTAAAAAACATCCATTTTGTCAAGGCTTTGGGTACCCAGTTACCCACTTATGGTAACCAGTTACCCCCTCACAGTTTTTCCCAAGAATTTGATTTTTGCACGCGGTAACCGGTTGCTCCCAGGTGGTAACCGGTTACCACTACTATTTTTCCAAAAATTCTGCAGTTTGCAGACTGCGATTTTTATCTTTTCAAAACCCCAAAACACCAATTTTCATCATGAAACATAAACAATCATTCAACTGAACATGCATAATTTAAAGCCATCAATTTGGGATCATTTTATATTATCAAGATCAAGATTTATCACACCAATTCACCACCATCAATCATCACACATACACATCACAATTCACACAAAGCATATTATACAATTATATAACCTAACCCTACCATAACCCATTATCATACAACCTTTATAGTGTTAGAACCCCCCCCCCCCCCCCCTTACCTTAGATTTTTAGTTATCTTCCCTGCTCCAATGGAGTCTTCCCTTAGCCCTATGTTCTTCCTCTTTTCTCCTGCTTCTCACTTCTACGATCAATTGGGAATAATGCCCTATATTCCTCGTGTTATCACTTCTTGTTTTCTAATAACTCAAATTAGACCCCTAAATCAATGTTCCCACCTTGCCCTTCTTATTTTTAATTATTTAATTAATCACTAATATTATAAATAAATATCTATCTATAAAAATAGTAATAATAATTAAAACTAACATCACTTGTATTCTCTATTCAGCCCATGTTCTCTATGTTTTTAGTCATACACTCCCAACAATTCAACCTCTAATTTCCCAAATAGCATCTCATCACATTGTAAAACATAACATCATCTTATCTTATTATTTTTAAATAAAAATAACCTTAATTAAATCAGGGTGTTACAACTCTCCCCCACTTAAAAGATTTGTGTCCTAAAAAATTACCTCAAGTGAACAACTCTGGGTAAGCTTCCCGCATCTTGCTTTCTAATCCCCATGTTGCATTCTCTCCAGTAGCTCCTCCCCAAACTACTTTCACAAGAGAGAGATCTTTGTCTCTCAACTTCTTCATTTCACGATCTTCAATTCTCACAGGTACGGTCTCAACAGTAAGATCATCTTGTACTTGTATATTATTTATTGGAATCACATGTGACGGATCTGGAACATATTTCCGAAGTTGCGACACATGGAACACATTATGCAGATTTGATAAATTAGGTGGTAGTGTGAATCTATATGCAACATTCCCCACCTTCTCTGAAATCTAATACGGACCAATAAATCGAGGAGTCAACTTCCTTGACTTCAAGGCACGTCCTACACCCGTTACAGGAGATACTCTCAAGAATAGATGATCTCCC